GGGGGTCACTGATGCCCATGTCCAGCAGTCACTGTGCGAGAGGCAGGGGTCACCTTGGACAGGTCGCAAGTCCATCACAGGGACACATAAAGACAAACGAGACAAACAACTATTCTCTCTCTCACCTAGAGACAATTTAGAGTTACCAATCAATCTAACATGCATGTTTTTGATCTGTGGGAGGAAACTGGAGTACCCGGAGAAAACCCACACAGCATGGAGAGAACATGCACACTCTACCCAAAAAGTCCCCTGGACTGAGATTTGAACCAGGGTAACCTGCTCGCTCGCTGAGAGGCAGCAGCTCTACCAGTTGAGCCACCATGCTGCCCTTAAGCAACATCTATTTCTGAAAAAGAAACCCAGGTTTAATTTCAGTTTCATTATCAAGTTTTCGACATGGGGTTTAAAAGAGAGATGTGCATCAACCAAGATTCCCATGTATTTGTAAGAATCGACAAACTCAATAGGAACACCACTCGTAGATAAAATAGGAGGAAGGACTGCTGGGATCGACATCCTGTTTGAAAACAACATCCCTTTGGTTTTGTCAGCATTTAGCACAAGTTTGAGACAGAACAAATCTGACTGAATGATGTCAAATGCATACTGTAAAAGCTGAAAAAACTTATCAACTCTTTTAGCTCAACAATAAACAACTGTGTCGTCAGCATAGAAATGTAAGAATGCATCGGGAATGTTCTGACCTACATTACTTATGTATATTGTAAAAAGATTGGGTCCTAAGACTGAGCCTTATGGTATGCCATTATTGACAGTTAAACAACTGGAAGAATTACCATTGTGTTAACCAACTTATAGTGTGATCTGAGAAACCAGTATTTGAGAGCTTATGGCATAAAATGTCATGGTCTAAATGTTGAAGGGTCTGAATGCAGCTGATGCCCAAAACTCCAACATAAGTCTGTAATAATCACAACTCTGAACAAAATCCTTCCTTTTGACGCTTAAACTATAGGAAAACAGTAAAGAGAACCGAGATCAAAACAAGAATATCACATAGGGCACAGTATACAACCATTGACAAACTACTATATGGCAATACAGCAATCTATAGCAATGGCCCAAATAAGCAAAGGTCTTGTATAACATTCAACCTTGAATTGTGACCTTGATCTTGGAACTGGGGTGATGTAAAGTGCATGTGACGCCTAGTGATGATGATTATGTGTATGAAGTTTTGCTAATTTATTTTGAGCGCATCATAAGTCATGGACATCCACCTTCAATATGCGTAATAAAAAAAGACTTTTTAAAAGATTTTCAGAAAAAAAATTTGTATTCTCTCTGCTCTCCTGTGCCATGAGTGTTTTTGTACCTTCTGAGATCTTCAGGCCTCCCCCATCCCCCAATAAAGAGTTTGGTGAGGAGCAGTCTTCGGTAAAATACATCGAGCCGACTCAAACCCATGGACCGGTTCTTCGCATCTACACAGTGAGATAAGATCAGATCAGATAAGTCTTTAATCGTCCAACAAGGGGACACATGCTTCATTTAAAGAGAAGAAAACACTTTCTCTACAAAACTCTGTAATCTTTGTTCAGATGTGGAACGAGTTCATGAAGCTCTTATAGTGACTAAATTAATTCAGACATGTTGATGTTCCTTTCTGTTATCCAGACACTTTGTTTGACAGAAAGATGACACACTGAAGCAGAATAATAACGAGCAAAAGCAAAATGAACTAGAGAAATTGCATTTCCTGCGAAAATGCAATGTGAATGTTTATTGCTGAAGAACTTGCTGAAAAACAACTGAAAGTGGCTAAACATGCTGAAATGTAGCTGAAATGGAAGAACAAGCCTAAGTTACCAGAAGAAAGCAGAAAGAACTCATATTTGCTTACTTAAATTTAAATAAGCAGAAATAAGCTTGTGACATGAGAAATTAGGAAATTAGCTAAAAAAGCTGAAATTAGGAAAAAATAGCTGAAAAGTACCCAGGTGAAAAGACAGAAAGAAGCTTAAACTACCAGAAGGAAGTGGAATGAGCACAAATGAGCTAAAAAAAAAGTGGAATTAGCTAAAAGTAAAAAGCTATAGCACAAAAACAGCTAAAATGTAGCTGAAATAGCAGAAAAAAATTGAAAATAGCAACAACAACAAAAAGTGAAAGGATAACAAGCTGAAATAAGCAGAAAAAAAGCTAATTAGGTTGAAAGTAGCAGAAATTACCATGAAAAACTTGAATTTCTCTGAAAACAACTGAAATCAAAATCAGAATCAGAATAAACTTTATTGGAATTGCACCGAGGTACAACGCAAATATGTACGTACAGTCATCCGAAAGATGGGCGGAGTGCACGAAGCTGCAACTACAGGAGAGCACGGCCTTCTTATCCTTATCAGATAATAATCTTAAATAGGAAAAGGGGGAGAAACATGAGGGTAGATAGTGGTATTACAAAAAAGATCTTTCACATCTTGTCTATCAGGACACGATTTGAGACATCAAAAAACTCTACCAGCAAGCACAATTAAAACATGGTTACATTTGCATTTGACATCGAGGTGTTGAGATTTGTCCATGAGCATTTTTTCAGATCAGCCACAGTTTCTGAAGATGTTGTTCCAGCCAGCAGTTCTGATAAGCTTGCACAGAAAGTTCTCGGGGGGCGGGGGAGGGGGAGGGGTGATAGATGAAGCTTTTGTCCTTGGGTACTCATGTCCCAGGAGAAATTTGATAGTCAGCCCGTCTCCGAGGCCGTCGGGAGTCTGATTAAGATAAACTTGATTTTTGTTTTTTCTTCAGGCAGACAGATTTTTTTCTTCAGCCTTGAGTCCATCTGGGCGTTCTGGTTCCGAAAATGCCTAACTGTGGGATTACATTCCACTGATTCATGCTATGAGTCTCCTTCAAGGTCGAACCCACCACACTGACAAGTCCCAGAAGCCGCAGGTGGTCTGCGATTCTCAATCGCCTCCATCTTACGGTTAAGCTTGTAAACCAGACGATTTAAAGTTCCCACAGCGAGGACCAGACCTTCACACTGACTCGGAAGCTTTTCCATGGCCGAAACTGCTCCTGATGTCTTCTTCAAAAGTTGATAAAACAGAGCCCCGCCGATGCCAAAAAGCAGAGTCCCTGCTATCATAAATCCAAATATGTAAACATCTTCAACATCCTCCTGAGACAAAACTGTGATGCACATCTGCAGCCACACTCCCCACGTATCCATGACATACCCCACAGCGTGAGTCTCAGCTGGACACGCAGGTTCTCCAGGACCTTGTCGTTTTGATGAAAAAATCTTATCAATAGAGTTGAACGCCCACAATACCAAATCCATAATCTTCTTAGTTTATGTTCGGGAGATGAGACCCAGGCGCTTCAGACAGACAGAGAGCAGAGCAGGAAGAAGGAAAAAAACGGGGGAGGAGAAACAGAAGCTGCCACCTCAGTGAGAGCCTGGGAGGAAAAGAACCAGCTAAAATATGCTAAAAAAAAAGTTTCTAATTCATCCATCCATCCATCCATCCATCCATCATCTTTACCTGCTTCTTCCTTTTCAATTCAATTCAGTTTATTTAGAACTTTGGAACATACGTCTCTGCGTTGGGGGCGTGTGGGGGCGTTCCAATCTCGACCACCATTTTTATAGTCCTCAGGAAAAGAAAAACTCTGGTGTTTGTCTATGGTGTCACCGCTGTATCCTCCTTCATAACGCTGAAAAGCAGCTCAAAACAAAGTGGACTATATTGTGACAAACTTCTCCCAGATGACAAAAAATGCTTCTTGGAAAAAAATAGGTAAAATTGGAAATGTCGCCCCTTTGAAAAAATAAAAAAGGAGCAGTGACCTGGAGTAATATTTGCCTCCACTGACATTCCCAGCAGACCAGGTGTGTGTCAGTGCTTACACCGCAAATCATTTAAAGAATTACACGTTACTGGAAGCGCTTGTCCAATCTATGAAGGGCTGGGTGGATGATTTGGACATTTTTAAAACCCCGGATTGAGAATATGTTGTGGTTTCAACAAAGGTACGTACGTTGTTCTTGGCTCCTTAATTTTACATAAATTGTTAATGTACATTATTTTAGAATCAATCAACCTTCTGTATGTTGTATTAAAAATTGTGAACACAAAAAGTACGTTTTTAACTGATTTACAAATCTCCAAGTTGAAATGGTTAATTACCTTATTTTTAATGACTTGAACTCATCTAATAGCATGTAGACTTCAAAATCTTGATTAGATTATTTTATTTTATATATATATATATATATATATATATACAACATATATGTATTAAAATATATATATAATTTATGTTTGTTTTTTCATTCAGCATTTTATTTGTGTTCACAGGTTCTGCACTCTCAGACTCTGAGCCACCAGAACACCGTGGGTCATGCTGAGCAACACTGTGTCTACTCAGTGCAAACTAAATGAGTACGAATCATGAGGATGCTCAAAAGGCCTACATTAAAATTGCAGCTAGCAGTACAAAAATCTAAAAGTTAAATGTGGTTTTATCATAAACACCAACATCCCTGAACTTGGAGCATCTCCTGATGGACTCAATGTGTGATTGCTGCTGCCTGGAGAAAGTTTCCTTACAAATATAGGACATGCAGCATCCAGCAGGCCTTGGAGGCAGGTAGTGAACTTCACCTGAAGAAACATCATCCATCCATACTATGCACAGGTACATAACCAAACCATTGTGACCTTGTGTGGACCCAGAAAGACATGGCTGTTGTCCGTGTGTCTCCAGAACAGAAATTCTGTGAAGCTCGTCTACAGAAAGCACGAAGCTTCTTAAAGATATTTCTCAGAGCATGTTTGTACTGCAGCTTCAAGGGAGACATAAATATGTAAATCATACTGTTAACCTATATTTGAACATTTTGTGTAGCAATTTTCTATGAAATGTATTACATCACACAATGTTCATCATGTTTGTTACTAGAAATGTTTAATTACACAAAATGTTGACTTCAAAATAGGATCTGGGTCATTACATGTTTATTTATTACCTGAAATATGTTAATACATCAAATGTTTACTACAAATGTGATCAATTTCATCATGTTTACATGTTCCCCGAAGTGATGAATCAAATGTTTCATGAATGTTTACCACATGATTTTTTATTAAATGAGAAAAAACAACCACTTATGTTATTATTCAACTGTAAATATATTTCAAACAATGAATAGAGCAAATATAATTTTTTTCTCCAATCTACATTTTACATGCATCAGGAGCAGTATGTGCAGGTTTCATTAGCGTTAGGTTTACAACCACATTAGAACAAATGTTTACTTAACTACAGCACACACATAATGTTAAGAAGTGTCACCTCTTCACCCTCACATGTAAGCACCAGTATAGTTAACTGGTATATTTCTGTGTAACATTTTCTATTTGTTTCTCATGCAACCAATCACTCTTTCCACATAAATTCTAAGGTGTGCTCATGTGTGTTCAACATCCTTAGCATCAAGCTCACATCTCCATTTACTGAATGATGGGATTTGAACCTCAGCACATCATTCATTTATACTTTTGTTGGATGTAACTGGGACCCTGTACACACAGTTTCGTTCCACCTCATGTACAACATGCGATGTGAATGCCAATAAAGAACCTTGACCTTGACTCCCACACTGTCTTTAATATCAAAGCCTCTGTCAGCTAACACAACGTCCCCGGATAATAATCTGGAGAGAAGTCCACGGCTTTCTGCTACGAGCTTGGCTGAAGCACATCCATCCCTTGGAAAGAAAAGAAAGACACAGGTATTGGACAGAGTTTTATGTGACACCTTAAAAAGATGGCAAAGATGCTGAACAGAATGCGTTAGTGTTAGTAGAACCATTTGAAATTGTGAGGGTTTTTTTATGCTGGCAGAAAATGTCTAACAGTGTTAAACAATGAAAACAAGATGGCAAAGCAATGAAGTCCTGTATAATATTTAATAATTTAAAAATTATTTGTCCAGCTGTTTTTTATTCAGCTCTGACCTGAGCTCCCTGTTCTCCTGTAACAGGTGGTTTATTTCTGCTCTTTTTTGTTCACACATTGTATTTGTACCTTTTTGCTGCTGGTTCATGTTCCTCCTCTCCATCATCTGCAGCCTCACTGAGCTCCTCTCCTGGAGTTTCATCCACTTCATATGAAGGTTTGTCTTGAAGAGGACATATCAGAACGCAGATCAGTATTACTACAGTAAAAGTGGCAACACTAGAAACTTTAAACAGTTTATTTCACAATAACACAGATGTCCACTCTGTCTAAACTCAGACTGTTACATGCAAAATATAAACCCGACCTAAACCAGGTTGACCCACTTCTATGAACATGAACTAAACATGATGCATGCGGACAAAATCATGGCACAAATTTATGGCACAACACCAACAAACTGAATTTAGACACTCACCAGAATGTCTGGAACAAACTAGCAGGTATCTTGGGAC